TGGACCGGTGAGTCATATCCGGCAGCAGTTCGAGATCTGTCTCTTTGTCGGACCTGTGCGTCATATCAGGCGGCAACTAGGCTCGGGAATATCAAAGGTCATTCCGCAACCTTTGTGCGACCCTTCGATCCATCAGTTCTCCACTCGGAGTTCATATCCAAACCGATCCGGCTGAGTGATCCGTTCTTAGGGCGTATCAGTTCGCGATCGTGAAAAACCCGGCTCTTTCATGGGATAGGGAAAAGATTGGGCACATTATGAGAGCAAGTATCATACTGCACAATATGATTGTCGAAAATGAACGAGATCGTCACACTCAGTACGATACATCTGAATTTGAAGAAGGGGAGTCATCAAGGAGTTCACGGGTGGATATGTCGTATGGTACCGACATTCCATCAAATCTCGGTAATGTGTTTGCCATCCGGAAAGATCTTCGCGATCGGCGAATTCATGAGCAATTGAAATACGATTTGATCGAAAATATTTGGAAGAAATTTCGTGATCAAGCTTAATAAATATTGTATCTTTCTAGTTAATCATGCAATTAATAAAAATTGTAAAATTTCTCATGTTTAAAAAAAAAAGAATTTTTTTAAAGGATCCCAAAGTGGAGTCCACCATTAGACTCAACTTTTAGACTAGAGTTCTTCACTATTCAAAAAAAAAAAAAAAAAAAAGGCAACATTAATACCTAAAGACCCAATTTGGGATCCACCATTGTGGATGCCCTTAGAAGTTAAACCAGTGGAATATGTTCACATATCAGAGATCAAAGAAGACGATATCTTCGGTACAATTGTCGCAGAGAACACTGTTGCAGTCAACCACGACCACTTCGTGACATTCCGTCTTGATCTTGACATTGGTAAGGATTCATTTGTCCGTACCAAACTTATGACCAAGAGGACTCCAAGATCTGTCAGCACACCCAGAAAAAGCCATTGGACAACAAAGCGAAAGATTGCAAAGACCGAGGCAGAGGCTCGAGTGAAACTAGGACTGAGTCCGGAGGAATTGATGGTTGTTAACCCTAACCGGAGAACGAAGCATGGTAATGAGGTTGGATACTGTTTACTTCCTGGGCCATTTTCAGGCCCACTTCTAACCGAAGATGTTACCCACAGATTCGGGCAGCGTTTACTAACTACAACATATGGATCACTCCCTATAACAAGTCGGAGGTTTGGGCTAGCGGTTTGTACGCTGATCGTAGCCAAGGCGACGACACGTTGGCAGTATGGTCCCAAAGGTAACTTATATAAATCTCTACGCTTATAGTTTGACCCTTTTTCATGATTGCATCCATATATAAATACGCAAACGTAACACATTAGCTAGTTAGCTGGTAATAAGTTAAACTTCAATAATATTTTTCGCCTCTTCAAGTATCTTGACATAATAATATGCTAGTTTGGATTAAAATTAAGGGATTGGTGAACAATAAACAACATAAAGTTCACTAAAATTATAGAAATATAAGATTCGGTTAAGAAAATGAAACCAACACAAATTTGTCTGCCTGTAACAGGTTTTAACTAACTTTTAGATATTAACTTTTTATAATTAGCAAGTTCGGAAATCTAAAAACTTTTAAATCTTTTTAGAGCGATTCCAAACTATGTTAAATTAACTATTTCTGGAGAATACATTTTCCAACGAAAATCTAACATGTACTTTTTTTTAATATAGATGATTCAAGAGTTTTAACTATTCCATGTGTTCTTAAAAATATATGTTTTGAAAAAAAAATGTTTCAAAAAGATACACATTTTATGTTTAAAGAACTTTTTATAAGTTAATAATGATAAATTACAAACTTCAATTATTTTTACTTCTTAAAGTTTGTTTGATCTAAAATTATTAGAAGTTGGTAAACTCAAAGTACACTTATATTAGAAAAAAAATATTTTTAATTTATAAAAATCTATAAACTTCAAGTCTGATTGGTAAATGTAGGAATAAATGAAAGTAAATAAAAAAACTGAAAATGAGATAGCAATGAAAAGGTGAAAAAGGAGAAAAATATCTAGAGTAAAATCATACTATATATATATATATCTCTAGTAAAAGTTAGAGTGACATTTAGTGTGCTTTTCTTTCTATACAGTATATAGAATAAATAATAGGAATTTATATTTCATTTGACTGATAACTTTTTAGCATAAACCTAAAGTAGATATTGATTTAGAGTAAAATTTTACTCTATTAATTAATAACTTTCAGTCACACCCATACATCATTTAGGAACAGAAAGAGTAGTAGACAAATTTTATTGTTTTTATGGTATGACTGACTCTGTGCTAAAAGAAAAAAAATAGTAACAATTTATTTTTGTGGGACTAAATTTGTAACTAAATGTTAATTACAGGAATAGACAAATAGAGAATAATGATATAGTGATGTGGCACACCATCGGATTCCACCATGTCCCAAGCCAAGAAGATTTTCCGACGATGCCTACTTTATCCTGTAGCTTTGAACTCCGACCGACCAACTTTTTCGAACAAAATCCTGTCCTCAAAAGCAAATCCGTCAAGATAACCTCTGCTAAAAACTGCAGTCCCAAAAATGATTAATAGCTAGCTTTAAAATGAATTATCACTGATGACTTTGATTGACATCTTTTCTTTCTTCATGATGGTGGACTGTAAGAACTCAAGTTATAATTATGACTAGGTAAGAACTCAAGTTATAATTATGACTAGGTAAATATCCGCGCGTGGTGATTGTCTTTAAAATTTTTTAATTACTTTGCCTTTTGTGTATAGTTTACATTATATATTATAGACAACATGCATAATATGTAACACATATATAATGACTTAAATGATATAATGTATATTATATCTTGGTAACACAATTTAGAACTATTAACTGATACAAAAATCCGTACAAGTTAGAGCTTAAATTGTTGAAGTGCCATAGTTAATTACTGAGCAATAACTCTTTTTTTTTTATAAAATGAGATAGATTTATAAGCGATGCTAATTTTATGATGAAATAATTATATTTTCAAACATTTATATATATAATATATTTTAGATGACTAATTTTGACTAATTTTATCACTTGTATTCTACAATATATTACGCATATATTGATTTTTTTTTTCTAGAGAAAAATATTATCTTACTTGAGTAAATATCTAAAACATAATATACAATGGCAGATGATTTCAAAACATATTGATATTATAGAACTGACAGAATGGAATATAACAAATCATAATTTCGAATGTATGTTGTCTGAGCTAAACGGTTTCTCTACTATATGAGTTTCTTTAAAAAAAAAAAAAAAAACAATAACCTGAGATGTTCACAAGTGTGTAAATTTATAATGGTAGTAAGCTTGAGTTGAGTTCGTGAGTATTGTCATGAACGAACACAATATAATGTCATTCTGCTTGACTTTTGCGCATGACAATATGCTTTAATTGGAATACGTTTTGTTTATATACTATGTAAGAATGAGAAGAAGTCAAGTTTTTTGTGCTGTAGGGGGTTCCACTGTAAAACATCTCGAGCGTTCGGAATTATAATGAAGCTCTGCTGGAGAAAACCGTATCAGAAGATTTGACGATAGAGTTGGATTATTAACTTATTTTACGAACCGGGTAATGTCATATGTTAAGAAGTATGTGCAATATGTGCCAATGACAATAATTGTAAGAGCATCCACAATGGTGGATTCCATTGTGGATCCTTAGGGACTAATTTAATATTTTTTTTTATTTTATTAAATAGTGAAGGATTCTTAACAAAATAAACACTCCAATGGTGGATTCCTTTTAGGAGTTCTTAGGAATTTTTTTTTTTTAAACATATAAAATTTTGCAATTTAATTAATTGTATGATTAAACATAAAAATATACTAATTAACACAAAAAGTTTGAAAACTTGAACTATGACAAACTAATATAGGTTCATTTCATCATCACTGCAACATCTATAAGATACGGCTATGATCAACATGTGAGGAAGAAACATGTTAAAAATGTGGCTTACTATTTGGCTTACCAAGTGGAATTCTAAGACCATTGGCAAGAGTATTTGGCTTACCTAGAAAAAACCCTTCCAATAGTGAGATCAATTTACATGGACCAAAGAGATTAATGCTTACTCGCTTTGTACCCACTGCATACTCATTGATAATGTGGGACGCATCAGCTGTAAGCTGCAGAATGTATTGATTCCCTATTTGTTTCCACCCACGAAAAGTTTCTCTAGTCTATGTGTTATTGTTGAACTTGAATTACCAAGACTTGGGACATTGTATCAGCCTCTGACTGTGATTAAGTTTATCTTCCTGAGTTTGTATGGGTAACAATGTATATTCTGTCAACATTGTTTCCAGTTGACAAGGTCTTGTCTCCTCTGTTACAAATACTAAGGACAATAACCTGAGCCAACACCTATGATCATCCACTGTCATATCACACGGATTCAACAGAAAGTCCTGAGTCTTGATATTATTTATGGCCACAACGGCTATCCTGGTTTCTGCAACAAGTAGAATACCACATACGTAACACCATAGCTGGTTCAACGTCAATGCCGTAAGAATGGCGCTGCTGTATTTTTCTGCTGGATTAAGAGCTATCAACTCAGTAAAGAAACCCAATATGCCATACCATTTTGTAGACTGAGAGCTCACCAAGTCCCAAAGTATAGGCACTGAAACTTCTTTGCTTTTGAATTTGAAGTGCCAAGATTTAGAACACTTCCTCTTCTTTCTTGTTGTTATATCGTTCTTAAGCTGCAACAGTTCCAGATCTTTGATGTACATAACAATCGTTGTTGTAACCCACCATTCAGCTTCTTTAACAACTATAACAGGCCATGGTAGTGTGTCATGTCCGCTAATTCTAGTATAGCTGACCCGATATGGTGACTGAGACTGGAAACCCCTTTTAAACGTCACTGCTACATCATTCTTTGGAATATCAGTCTCGTTACAGTGATTCACACAATGAGAATGCATGGCTCACCTCCACTGACATCTATTGCAAGGCTTTTAATCTCAACTCTTCCAAGTTTTTTATAAAGAAAGCATCCCCAAAAACCCATGAGCGCCACTAGGAGCAACCAACCAACTCTTCCAAGTCTCATTCTACTTGAATCACATCACAAACCCGACACTCACACACCAGACATGTCCAAACACAAAGCAAAAGTCAATCAGAAAATCGCATATCTTCTATGTACCAAATCACATGAACTTTTTAAAGCAGAAAATGATATTGTTACCTCTAAAGGAGGTCTTGGATACAGAAAAGGAAGACACTTTCTCTCGATTGCGAGAAGGAACGCATCGAATTCATGATGATCGCAGACGTCAACGGAGGAAGCAAACCCGGAAGGCAAACACGACACAGCTATCACACAGAGGAGGAATATGGAGACCCGGAAACTCATTATATCACACTGAAACAAAGACCAAGAATAATCTAAATCTACAGCAAGAGAGAGAGAAATGGATGCGAGGGCAAGAAGAACAAAACTTTAAAAGAGAAGAACAAGAGATACCCTTGTCGTCAAGGGTGGTGATGCGGAGGAAATATGCATGGTGGGAGACGACCAGAATCTCCCGGATGCGGAGCGAGGAAGGAGAAGAAAGCTAATCTCCCCACTGCCACGTCAACAAGGACTGAGTCCTTAAAGTCCCTAGGTAAGGATTAATCCTTAGGTTAATAACACTTTTTATTATTTTTTTATTCTTCATTACCTATGTTAACGCGCTAAGGACTTCATTATTTTGCCGTTGCAGGTGCTCTAAATATCCTAGTAATTAAAGACCTATTAACTAAATTGGCTGAAAAAAGGTTATGAGTTTGCCATGTCAGCAAAAATGGGAAAATTGTTATTAATTTATCAAAATAAGGTTAATTATTCAAAAAATGCTTCTTGATTAATAAGTACTAGATCATGATCCGCGCATCCGTGTGAGTTTTATTTTTGGAATGTATTCTATATAATTTAGTTTTATATAGGTCCGGGTTTATCCAATTCTATTTTATGTTTAAATAATAATATCAAAACTGTCTTTTATATTGATAGCATCAAGCGGTGTATTATGTAGATGTAACCATGCAGTGAAAATACTAATTATGTACATTTGTTCGAAGTGAAAAGTCAAATTCAAACTTAACGGTTTGCGTTAAAAAAATAAACTGAGAGTTTAGTTCTGAACTTGATAATTTTCCCAAGTTTTTCAAATAATATACAAATTTCTAGAATTTTTGGCCTTGCCTTTTAATTTATAGGTTAGGTTAAATTCAAACTTAACTTTCGTCTTAACTTTGCAAGCGCAAAATATTTTATGATGAAAAATTTCATAAATAACTTAACAAATATGTTGGTAAACTGAAAGAGTTTATGTACTTAAAATATTTTTACATTTAAATCAGTATTTTAAATTTAACTCGAACCGCTATTAAACCGATGATCCGATAATTCAGTTTTAATTTTTAAAAATATCAATATTTAAAAAATCACTAAAACCTGAGACTAACAAATTAAACCGACGGATAACTGATATGTAATATTTAAATCTGTAAAAATAAGTTTATTTTTGTTGTTTTCTTTATTATTTGAACTTTTAATTTATCAAGAAGTAATTCCAGACTTTTGAAGAGGTAAGTAGGCCCACACAGTTCTTGAGAAGTCATCGACCACAGTAAGAAATTAAACGGCTCCAGAAGAGGAAGGAGTGCGATATGGACCCCAAACATCGCCAATGAATCAGTACAAAACAATCCTTAGTTTTATTGAAACTTTCATAGAAAACCTCTATAATCTGCTTAGCTTCAAAACAAGTATCACAAGGACTTTGAGCAGCAATTTTATTCGAATCTAAAGACATAGGTAAATAAGAAAACACTGAAAACGATGGATTTCCAAGTCGCTAATGCCAAAGAAACCGATCAACTGAACCAACAGACTTATCAGGAACTTGAACTTGAGCAGCCATAAAATCTTTGAAAAAATAAACCTCATCTCTCTCTTCTCATGCTCCAATCAGCGTGTCCTCGTGAAATGATCCTATAAAACACATAAGGTATCCATTAGAAGCGGAAAACAATTGGTTTGACAAAACAACTTGGAAACAGAAATAAGGGAACAATTCAGGTTTGACACGAATAAGACATTGGACATGACAATTTTCGTAGACAGTTGAAACACGCTGGTGTGAGTACCGTATGTTTTGTTTCCATCTACAAATTCAACCGGACACGGTGGAATGGAGACTATATGTTGTAGAAACCAGAGCTCACCAGTCATGTGATGAGAAGCACCCGTATCTAATATAAGATCACCATATTGCTTACCAGTCAACCGATCAGAAAATTTGTTTTTCTCATTAATCATCTGAGTAAGGGCTTTCCATTGTTCCTCGGTGAAATCTGGAAACGATGAATAATTTGAGGAAGTTGCATGAGCGTTGTTAGCTCTCGCTGTATTGCTTCTGTTCCGATCAGAGTTAGACGTTCCACGACCACGACCTCCTCGTGCTCCTTTGTTTTCACCGCGTGTTGGTGGTGTTTCTTCCCACCAGTCTGGAAAGCCTATGAGCTGCCAACAGTTGGCTTTCTCATGACCATGTCGGCTACAAGCAAGCAAGTCAATACGCGCCAGGACTAAGAAGAACCGTTTGTCTCAGGCGATTCCTTCTTTTCCACGAAACCAACAGCGTTTTATTGTGCCTCGCGTTCTTTAGTCAAAGCAAGCCGTTGTTCTTCTCTGACTATGCATGCATATGCTTCGCCAACATCAACATGTGTGTTTGCAGCTATAATCCCTTGACTAACGATTCCAATCCGAGCTTCACCTAAGCCCATAACAAACTGATGTACCTTCTCTTTGATCTCTCTTTTTCATAAATCATAGCCGCACTGCAACTGCAAAGTGGAAGAGGTTTGTATGTATCGAGTTCTTCCCACATCTTGACTAGACGTCTGAAGTAATCCATCACCGTTTGTCCATCTTGTTTGCAAGACACAAGTTTCTCTTTAACATGATGAATTCAAACTTTGTTTCCCTCTGAGAAACGTTTCTTCAGGTTCTCTCACAACTTGTGAGTATCGGATGTGAAGGTGACTGTAGAACGAATCCGATCTTCGATGGAAGAATGAATCCAGTCAACGATCATAGAATTAACGGACAATCACAGCTCAAAAAGAATTAGGTCACAAAATTTTTATTACTCTGATACCATGTAAACTAACTACAATATTGTCGCCTCTCAACTTGATCTCATATTAACAATAGACAAGAGTATATATACAAAGGTATGAGCCGACTTCCCAAACATAAACCTAGAGAAAATAGGAAATAGAACATAAGATAATAACGGTGTAACACAAGAATCCTTATCTATGATTCACTTGCCTAATAATTAAAACTTGGAGGCTGAAATAATTAGTGGGAGACAAAGGAAATGGGCGTGACCCAGAGTTGGATCATTGGTTGATAGAAATAGTTAGGTAAGCTCTTAATCAATCAGTGCAGACTTAATTTATTTGAAATTACGTGATTCAGGTGGAAAATCGTGAGTTATTTCTAAACATATAGGACATTTACAAAAGTTTGAAAGAGAATATTATAGTGATAACAAAATAAAGTGAAAAAGATGTCGAATCAACAATGATCCTTGGGCCCATCCTAATTGTATGTACGGCTCACACATATTTTCGTGGTTTTCGTTTGATTATTAATAATATTCTCTTAAGCTAACATCACATAACATTATTTATACTAGATCTTTTTTCTGCGCTTCACGCGGATAATTACTTTTTATATGTAACTTTTGATTTGTTATATGAATATCAAATATTATAGACTATATTTACTTTTTGTATTTAATTTTTGAGTTTGTTGTATGATTTTTAAATAATTTCTTGTTATATTTAGTTGTTGATTTTTTTATATTGAAAGTATTTAAATTCAAAGAAAGTGTTTCTTTTTTCTAGTTTAAATGTTTTTCATAGTTTTATTTCAAAACACTTTTGATGCATTGTAATAGATAAGTTTTTATTTTGTGGTATTGGAATTTTAATAAGCTAGGGTGGATCAATATCTAATTAAATGTAAGAAATAGTAGTGTACGAACCGAAAAATTGTCCGTCAAGATAATTTTTTTATAACGACTTATTTTAGTAAACTTAGGTGGAGTTTACATAATCTTCATGAAGAGGATGAACAATTAAAGTAAGTGCATTGTAATAACATACAAATAAATTGTCATTCGGAATTCTAGCCTTAGCCAAAAGATACGCCACCTAATTTGTCTTTCTTCCTATCCAAGTAAATCAGATATCTTCAAATCTTCGCACCACCAGCATATTTCCCTGATCCAATTATAAGCTCTAAAGTGGAGTGATAAGGGTTTTTAATCCTCAGAGCAAATCGAAGTAGTATTTAAGATTGTCGAACAATAGGGAACTAGCAATCTAAACACTAAAAATACACAAACTTTCCTAATCTAAGCAAATAAGAGAGGTGGATGATTGTAACAAGCTAAGATCCTAAAAATATAAACAAATGTGATCTCAAATCCAATCAAGAAATAAATGTAAGAACACTTTCAATCAAATGATAAGGTAGAATCCATGGGATTAAGGCAATTGATCTAAAGCAATTAAAGTTTCAATCAAAATGTTCCTTAAGTCTAAACAACTTAACTAAGCAAATTCTAGGTCTAGACAAATGCTCATTTGCTTTCCTTAATCAAACACAAATGGTCATTGGCTCAATTAATTCAAGCAATCATTAAGAGTAGGTTTAATAACTATCTAAGATACAAATGATCATTGGCTAGGTAGTCTTAAAGCTAAGAAGAGTTGGTTCAGTCATTTAAACATACACCTTGTGGGCAGAAAATGACTAAGGTTCAATCATAGAGTGATCAAGTCTAGAATAGCATTAAACACACTCTACTAGCAAGGAAACACTTAGATCTACACTTAATCACCCTAGATCTACCTAATCCATGAATTCTAAAAGTGTCTACTCTCTAATCTCTATGAGAAACCTTAAATCCATGATGGATTCAAGGCTAATCATGTTAATGAGAATGAGAAACAAGATATAAGATGAAATACTTCCTTAAAATGGTATAAAGATTCAAGCTTTTACAATTAGAAACAAGTTCTTGAGAGAAAATGAGATACTTTAGGGTTTTTGGGGTCTAAATCTATTTATAGAGAAGTCTAAATTCGTCATGGTTCATTTGAATTAAACCAAGTCAAACCAAATTAAACCGATCAACGTTTTGATTTGGTCCATAGCGACCTATTCATCCCTCTCCGTGAAGTCGCTATAGCACGCGGCTATCTCCTAACGATGTCTCTTGCCCGCTACAAACATGTCGCTATGTGCATTAGAAAATCCGAGCATCTGACTTCTTCTCCCTCGTGGTTCTGTGTAAATCAAGACCGTCTTCAAGCTTCTCTTCACCATCGTCACCGGCTCATCTCCAAAGCTGAGCTCGTGCTTTGACCACCGTCAATCCGAGGCTCTAGTTCGTATCCCCCGTCATCTCTCCGAGATCCGCAGCCACTGTCTAC